CTAAGGACGCAGCTTCTGCTTCCCAGTGGTGTTGGTGTGGACTCATCCTAAGTTCATCATCACCTTCTGGGACCACTTGTGGTGATGCTGAGCCATACAGGTTCTGCAGCAGTGCCTTCACCTGTCTCCTGTGTCCATTTGACATTTTCTGAGCACACTGTTAGCTTCTGGGTATTTTCCGCTCATGACCTTGACAGTCCTCGCCTCAGTCTGTGAATCAGCCGTTTCTCTGAGCTTCTGCTTTGTTTCCTGGAGCATGATGTTCAGAACTGAAGTCTGGGCTCTGGGTATCCTAGCTGCTAAAGGGGTATTGTCTTTTGGGTCTGTACCCTCTCTGGACAGAACTGAGGAAAAGCTACACGCGTGCACACACCCACGGCCACACTCCACACGTGCACACACGGGCATCCCACCCCAAGCTCCCGCTGGCCACCCGTGCCAGGTCCTGTTTGCAGAGCTCACCCTGACTCTCTCTCCTCTCCACCTTGAAACCCCTTCTTCCAGCAGTGAGAACCCTGGCTCTGGTTATCCAGCATGTCATTTGCTCAATCCTAGATACTAAAGGAGCTTCGGAGCTGCTGACCTGCATTGCAGTGAATAACCCAGCTAGAATTCAAGATGTGTTTACGGTTATTTTTGTCTTTGCTCTGAGAGTCCAAATAACCTGCCCCAAAGTTACTTGAAACCACTAGATTCTAATGGTTCCAAACGATGGAGGTTGATTTTGCCACGTTCAACACAGATCAGCCTGGGGCTTTGGTCTGCATTGTCCTTACTTTGGGACCCAGGGTGACAGGGTGACTATCACCAGCATGGCAGAGAACAGAGGGCACAAGGACTTGCATTCTTGGGTCCTCTGTTTCAAAGTGAGTGCATCCGCCCACTCACCTTCTGTGGCCAGGTCCCCTCACCTGGTCACACCTACAAAGTGAGCAGAGAAGGCCAACCACTCTCTACGGCTGATGGGCAAGTCTGCTATCTAAACCCCAGGACAAAAATCTGTTTTACAGAGGAGGAAGCTGAAGCACTCGGGCTAGTCTTAACTAACACATGGATGCAGTTCATCACGTTCTCTGCTGCATACTATTTCACACTGTGTGTATGTACCGTGCCCACTGAGCCATGCCCTGCCTGTGGATGTTCAGAAGGTTTCCATCTTCTCTCTTTTTTTTAAATTTTTAATATTTATATTTTAGTTTTTGGCGGACACAACATCTTTGTTTGTATGTGGTGCTGAGGATGGAACCTGGCTGCACGCATGCCAGGCGAGCACATTACTGCTTGAGCCACATCCCCAGCCCTCCATCTTCTCTATTGGACACAGTGCTCCAAAGACAACCCTTGAGCAGTGGCCTGGGTGGAATTGTTGAGCAGCACCGGGCCTCAGTCAGAGACTCCTTATTGCCATTTTTCTTCTTAATAAAGTAAATATAGAACCAACCTCATTAATTTATTACAGGAATTATATCAGGTACCACAAGAAGCCCTTCTCCCAATGCCGGGAACATAGACGAGCTTCCCAATGTAGCGGTTACGGTTAGTGTTATTGTTATTAGTGGAGCTGGGATGCAGTGGAGCTGTTACTGGTCCATGGCGCCAGGGGTGGAGTGTGGGCTCTGGCTCTCTGTGTCCCTTTGTGTGCTCTGTGAGCCCTTCTCCTGATCCAATGGGGCTCTGGGTTCCCAGTGTGGGAGCCTTGGCTGCCACCTTCCCTTCTGAAAGGAGGTGCCTGGGGCCAGTGCGTCCTCCTCCCCTCCCTACCTCTGAGTCCTCTCCAGGGTTCACTGGGCCCTTGAGACCGGAGCTAACAGAGCTGCCATTGAGAGACCCTGGCCATCTGAGTGACAAGAAGGGGGAAGAGGGACCATCTAGAGCACTCAGGTCCACTGGGGCCTAGGCCTGAGGATTCCTCTGTGGCCATGACATGTGGAGCCACCTCACCCTGAGAGAGCCCGTGCTGCTCACAAGGCACTGAGGCCTCCTGGGCTCGCTCTACTGACCACGTTCCCGATCCTGCCAGGTCCTTTTCCTCTGACACAACTGTCACAGTGGCCATGTCCACTTGGTACATAGCCCTGCACCCCTACCCAACCCTGGGCGAGGCACGAGCCTATTCCCAGAACAGTATTGCCTCAGTGTTCAGAACATGCAGTGGGTTCCAGTGTGTGTACAAGGTTCTGCAACCATCAGTGCTAATTCTAGAACATTCACATCACTCCTGCCACATAGACTGTACTGCCCAGCGACCCCCACGCCCTTCATCCTCCACTCCCTTCACAGCCACTAATCCACGTCCCACCTGTTCTGGATATTTCACACACATGGAATCGTAAGTTGCGTGTCTGGGCTTCTTTCTCTAAACATAATGTTTTTAAGGCCCGTCTCTATTGTGGTCTATGTCAGTTAATCCTTCTCATGACTCAGTGGCGTTCCGTTGGACAGGCCAGCTTGCGGGCAGCCTGTGATGGGATCTCCTTAGGCACCTTGCCAGTGGGGTGCTCCAGGGAACCCACAGACAAGGTGTGTACCGTGGGTGGTTTGGGAATGCGGGTGGGAAAGGTCTCCAGTGGGGTTCTCCTCTCTGTGGTGCCCACACTGCTGGTTTTTACTGGTAAGGTGGCATCATGCTTCAAAGCCATCGCAGAGCTGGAGAGTGGGGGAGTGGCCTCAAGTTAAAATGCCACCAAGGTCTCTGTGTTTGACCAGGACCTGGCCCTCTATTTCTTGCATAAATGCTCTCCCAGTCGTACAAGTGTTTGGGGCATCTCCAGAGCCCAGGAAACGTTATTTTGAGAATGTTTGCCAGTTTCCTTGTGACTTTTATGGAGAAGAGAGTTTTCTGATGGCCTCACTGTGACTTTGCCCTTGGTGATGCCCTCATGGGATGGAAGTGCCTTCCACAGAGGAGTGCGGAGATGCTCTGTAGGCATCGGACCTGGGGCTTCCGCAGACGGAGCAGAAAAGACTTGTTCTGTGGTCGATGGTGGAAGTTTAGCAGTTTCTTCAACCATATCATTGTTTTGATGTAATATTGGACATGGTGATTGCTTTCTCAATGTGCCGAGGGTATGTAGGGACCTACTTTAGGTTTTCAGAGAGGCTTAACTTATTTACAGTATTTTGAAATCTTTTCAAGACCCCATCCCAGGATGGGTGTGGTGGCACACGCCTGCAATCCCTGTGGCTCAGGAGGCTGAGGCAGGAAGATCACAGGTTCAAAGCCAGCCTCAGCAATTTAATGAGACTGGAGGCAACCTAGCAAAACTCTCTGTCTCAAAATAAAAAATAAAAATGAAGGGCTGGGGATGTGACTCAGTGGTTAAGCACCTCTGGGTGGAATCCCTTGCACCAAAAAAAAAAATAAAAATAAAAAAAAAAATCCCACAACGAGGAAAGAGCACATGTCAAAACAAGAAGGTTGACTTACCACCATGTTGGATTGGGCTGCCACATTTCCCACCTGTTCCTTAGAAATTTGATGTTTTCTCTTGAAAAGTAGCTATTATTTGTAGGCTTAATATCACTGCAAAGCAAATCATGTATAAAATGGTACTAAAACTTATACTATCTTGGGAGGGTTGTTGGGAAGCACAGAGGATGATTATTTGCATGCCAGTCATTTAGAATACCACCTGTCTCCTAGTAGCTCAGTCTCAGTGGCCGCTGTGGCTGTCATTCAAGGCCTGCCCCCTCTCTTGCCCCTCTCCTGATTTGGAATGGAGAGTGGGGGGCCGACTGAGGACATGGAGTGTGGGACCTGCCTAGTGCATGGGCTGAGGCAGGGACTGGGGTGAGGAGCCATGATGACGGCCTGTTGGACCCTCCTGGGGGAGCTGAGCCAATGCTGTGGACTTCCACTTCTGAGCTGAGTTGTGCAGCCGTGGCTGGCTGTCTGCTTGGCCTTCTTTTCCAGCCTGGTGTGGAAGTAGCTTCTCCACCATGGTCCCTGTGTGCGCCTTGAGGTGGCTCTTTAGCTCATTCATTGAGTGAACATTCTGACCTCCACTGTAGCAGCTGCATGGCGGGCTGTGCTCACAGCACCTTCTGCCCTGAGGTGGGCACAGATGGCCTGTTCAATGTCCATAAGCTCCCTGTGGAGTAGGGGCTTGTTTGTCCCTGTTTGCAGACCAGGGGACCTCTGCATGGGAGGTAACGTGGGGCAGAAGCTGCCCAGACTATGAGAAGGCTGGACTGTGCAGGGGACAGAGAGAAGGGGACAGGAGAAGGACCGGGAGGTGGGCAAGGCCCAGGTGGCCCTCCTCAGTGAGCGGGACCCTATCTTAAGAAGAGTAGGGCACTTTCCAGGCATTTTGATCTGGCAGAGAGATAGTCTGGGTTGGAGATCTTGAACCCTGTGAAGAGAGACCCAGGGAGAACCCCGGGGCCAGCGTAGCTGTCCAGGCCAGAGGCGCTGGGAGGGCAGGGGAGCTGGGAGAGGCGACAGCAGGAAGTTGACAGATGGAGATGAATTAGAAAGACAGAACCCATGAGCCCCCAGGGGTCATCAGGGTTTGCAGGGGAATCTCTGGGGTCCAGAGAGGTGAGAGAGGGGCCAGGGTGCCCAGCCCAGGTGTGCAGAGGTTTATGATGTGACGAGTTCTCCTTTGCTCTTTGTGCTATTGTCTTTCTTCATTTGAAACAAAAATGAAGCATGTGCTCCTGTGTTACTAAGCCCAGAACAGGCAATCAGTACCCAAAGGACCCTCAGACTGAGCCCTGGAGAATGCTGGGGAGAAATCCTGTGCCGGTGTGAGCCTGACAGATGCAGGAGGTACGGGTTGTGGGAGGAGGTGGAGGAGGGAGCAGCTTGGTGCTCCCCAAGAGGCTGGGTGCCAGGAGAGGGTCTGGCTGCCGGGTGTGGCCATCAGTCTGGCTGGACCCCACCCTCACATGGCTGCATCCCTGCAGGCTCTTAGGGCAGGGGCGGTGCTGGCCGGCCTCACCCTGCTCCCTGGGATCCAAGCTCGCTCACCGGCACCTCTTCTCTCCTTCAGGACACAGAGGTTTTGAACACCGCCATTCTCACCAGAAAGCCCATCTCGGTCCCTGTCAAAGTCATGGGGGTTCAAGAGGACGGTTCCGTGGTGGATGTGTCAGAGGCTGTGGAGTGCAGGTCGGCCGATGAGGACATCATGAAGGTATGTGACAGCTTTGTCTGCCTGTCTCCCAGTGCACATGGCTTTCATGGCTCACTGTGTCCCAGCCTCCAGATCTGGTGAGCACCCTGTGCTCCTAGGGTTGTGGGCCAGAGTGACCTCACTAAGCAGCAAACGGCTGAATCAGAGACACCTGGGTCAGACAGCATCTGTGGGTGGCCCAGCTGCTCCCCTCTGCCAAGCCTGAATCTCAAGGGCAAATCTGTGCCCACGCTCAATTCCATCTCCTTCCCCCTCCTCCCTCTCTTTCCTCACAGGGTGCTGTTCCCTTAGCATCAACAGTCCCCAACCATCTCAATTGGTACCAACTCTCTGTGCCAATCATTTTATTTACTAAATATATTTTCTTTAACTGCCTTGTTGTTTTAGAGTGGCTGGTTGGCCCCGCTGGTTGGTGTATGGTGTTAATAAATGCCTCCCTGTTTCAAACTTAAAAACAGATTTGGTCTCATTACAGGATAATAAAACTCATGAGCCTGATGTAGTAAATTTTTGTTAGTAACATTAAAATAAGCGACTATTAAATTTTTTAATAGCTCATCCTTTGCTACCTGCTTTAATTTGAATATAACCCGAGGCATATAACTCAGTTGGGGAGTCTGTCCAAGGGACACTTTTACTGTGTGCTTCATTCTAATTAGCTACACTTCTGACTCCAAATTCTGCCAGGAAGCAGCCCATGTTTTCAGTTTTCCACGGTCTTCACAGGGTTCTCCTTGAACTGCTAAATTGGGTGTTTCTGCCCATTTTTTCTAAGTACATTGGTTGCTGCTTCTTTTTGCAGCAAAGACCTGGGGAGAAGGGACTTCAGTCTTGAGGACGATCCTTCCTCCGAGTGCCGAGAGAGGCCTGGGGCCCACTCTGTCCTCATGTTTTAGGAGAAGACATCAATGCCCAGCTCTGCCCTTCCTCACCTTCTCCCAGCTCTGGTTCAGACATTCAGCAGAACTGTTCATGGCCAACAGGAAGGCCTTCCAGGGTTCTCCAGGGAGAAAGGGTCACGGAGGGGTTTATTTCTCTTTACTGCGACCTGCGGGAGGCTGTGTCTTGGTCTAGAGACAGTTTAGTAAAGAAGAAATGGTGTATTTGTGAGATCTAGTGAAAAACAAGGAGTCTGTAGGAAACTCAAGCTTGCTGTTGGTGGTTTCCTGGGCTTGGAACATTAATTCTCCATGAGAAGAAGGCTGGACCAGCTTAAGACCTGGACACACGGCCCTGCCTGGTGCCTGGAGATGGAACAAGCCCAGGCCTTACCTTCTCAGCTCAGGGGACCAAGTGCTCTCAGGAGACCATGTGCATGGGTGAAAACATGGACCACTTGCTGTCCTGGCTGCCTTTGGCCACACACACTCCTCACCCTTCCCCGCCTTCCAGAAAGCAGGAGCAGACACTGGCAAATGGAGATGGCTCTGTGTGCTTATGCCATCATGGACCCAGACAAGTGACTCCCCTCAGTGGGTTCCTTAAGCCCTCAGTCCCATCCTGAGAGCCTCCTGTGGAGCCCCACACAGGATCCTTGTTCTCCTGCCTGGAGAGCTCCACCCAAGGGAGGCCAGTTCAAGTTCAAGTTCATGAATCCCACCAAAGATGTCCTCTGCCCCTCCTGATACATACAGTTTTGGAAGAGGACAGGTTTTGCCTATTAACTATTGCAGCCTCATGAAAAAGCAAGTTCTTTAGCAAACAATTGTTTACTCTTCTAGGTGTGAAATGGAGCCCACAGATCACCAAGCTCAGCCCTGCAGTAGGACAGGTCCTCTGGAGGTCCCTGCTGCCCGTGTCCGTGGGCTAGACTTAATTAGACAGCTGTGATGCACAGGCTGTGGCTTCACTCTTAATGTTCATAGTCAATTTTGCCGTGACTCTAAGATGGATGGAGGTGTCCACAAAGCCCTGTGCTGGCCTCAGCCTCAAACCAGGGTCAGCCCTGGACGTTGGCACAGTTGTTAGTACCCTCAGGAGAGCCCCTCCATCTGTGGGGCTGCTGCTCAGCCGCTCCTTCACAGCACAGGGAACACCATGGGGCCCTAAGGATGAGTTCGCTGGGTCCCCAGAGATCTTCATGCACTGGGGATTCAGTGGCCTGAGTCTGGGATTGAGATGGCAAGGAAGTGGGAATCCAGGAAGATGCAAATTATGGCAATGCACAAATTAGCTTCTTCAACCTGGGATGGAATGACTTTTGAAGGACAGAATCTGAAGGCATAAATATTTTAAAAACCTGAAACCTGACCCTAATTGGGCAAGATTGGGGGGGGATAAATGTCAAGTTTTAAGTCCACAATTACTGTGAAGTTAAAAATAAAGAAAGTAGGGGATGCGGCTTGAGAGTGTGTGTGCATGCGCACCTGTGTGCACATGCATTGTGTACTTACTGGCTTTTATTCTTTAATTGTTGTGGTCATGTAAAAGTGAACAAATTGGCACAGAAATTTGGATTTCCAGTTTCTAATGAAAAATCACAAGATCATGTGGTCCTGGGCCTTGGGCCCACATGGGCTGCACCTGTAGTTGAGTAGAGGAGACCCTTTGTGTAAGGCCAGCACCCCCAGCTCACCACAGTCCCCACTACTCCATCTTGTCTCCCCCAAGGAGGTGGAGGGACATTTGCCGCCTTAAGTCATACTTAGGAGGCTGGCTTTCCGATCTTAGATTTTAGATGAAAGTGAGTTTTTTCTCATACTGTGGTCTCAAAAAAGAGAAAGGAGCAACAAATGATCTACTTCATTCTGTCATCCTTCAGGCCCTAAGAGGACACCAGAAAATTAGATTGTGTTCTGCCAAAGAATGTCTGGGTGGCCAAGGGTTCTTGAAATCAAATCACAGGAGGAAAGACTACAGCAAGGGCAAGTGTTTAGCCTGGTGATGAGAAGAAGAGGCCCTGGGATGAGGTGATGACAGCGCTTTTATGTCTTTCAAGGGCCATCATGTGGAAGAGGGAGACTTGTGCTTTTTGTATTCCTAAAGTGGTAGTTAAAAAGGACCATTTTCAGTTCAATGTAAAGGATGGACTGCAGAGGTGGTGAGTTCTTTGGTTAAGCATTCAGACAGACAATGGGGTTTAGATCTTAACTCCACCTTCCTTACCACTGGACCTTGGGCAAATGGCTTAACTCCTGTGAACTCAGATCCTTATCTACAAATGGGGATGATAACGATATGGTGGAAAGTTACCTTTTATAGAGATTTGTTCTAATGTCATTGTGTAAAGTAGAATGAACCACAATCAAAATAATCCTGGAAAGCCCGTTAGAGGAGACCTGGGCTTTTGGAAGTTCAAAACACAGTTGATTAAAAAAATGTTTTCCTTGCTTTAAGCCACAGACATAGGGCAAGGGTTAGTTTAAAGGAAATGCTGGGGGGTGGGGTGCCCAGGTAAGCTGGCCTTGGGAAGCCGCCTTTTACTCTCTGTGTCTTCTGGTGAAGGTTTCATCCAATGGCAGCCCAGTTATTCTGAGCATGTCTAATTGGATTGCTGTTTGTTAGATCTGTGTGATGAAGTCCCAGTGTGAATTTGGAGAATAATTGAATGAGAATGTACATCTAAAGGAAGTCACAAAGTGTTTGAGCCATCATATGTCAATGTTGCACTGATAGATGTGCAAATTTAGATCTGTGCGCATACACATGTCCATGATCACCACAAAAATTCCTCCCAGATCCAAGGTTACTCTATTTCTGGCATGAATTTCCCTCCTTCACGCGCTGCCAGGAGCCATGCAGCTCAGAAGAAGTTGTCAGGCGGTTTGGATGTTATTGCCTAATTTTGTCCTTCTTTATGCTGGTAATTTGGACTTTCATTGTTCCATTCTAATTGGAGATGTGTCATATATTTCCTGTTGGCCAGGGATGGGCACTGCTGCCTTCTCAACCTTTTGTTCCTGTCAGCTTCATTATGATTTCAATATTAATTAGATCATTTGTTCTTCTCTGTCTTTGGCATCTCTAATTAAGAACTAACATCCTGGAATTGTTTCTTCATGATTCAAGGAGATCTTGGACAATCCCGCATGAACCTGCACACCTCTGCCTTCACTTGCCCAGGACGCATGCCCATGCCCCCTCCCCCTCCTGGGGACCCTCATCTGCTCTTCCCTGGCCAGGCCTGCTTGCTACAGGGTTGGGGTTTGCTGGAGACGTGGGGCTGTGACTGTGCTATAGATTTCAGGCCTGGTCAGGTACAATCCCTAGTGTCTGGTGTCCCCTGGGGACATATTTATTCTGTGTTCAGTAAGAGGGAAGGGAGCCCTCCATTGTGCTTTGGTTCTTGATTCACAATTTAAACCCCCATCATGCAGCTTTGGTGGTAGGGAGGGTGTGTCAGCTTCACTGAGCTTCCAGAAGAAACTCAGAGGAGCTAAACAAAGTTCATAAATTAACTGGATCACAGAGCCGTGAGACCCAGACACAGACAGGCATGGGTCCAGGCACAGAGGCCATGTGTTGAGACTGCGGCCTCCCTCTGCCATTTTCCTGTCTAACAGCTTCATGACCACACAGCTGACACTCAGTGAGCTGCCCATGTTTAAATGGAGAGTTTGGTACATTTTGATGGTTTTGTGGGTGCAAAATCACCACCCAAATTGGGGCAGTGATATCTTTAGCCTTTGATCTTTCTTCTTGCTTCTTTATGATCCCTTCTCTCTTGCCCTCTCCATTTGTCCCGTGCAATCACTCCCTGACAGTTAATTTTTATTTTCTGGAGTTTCATATAAATGAAACAGTAAAGTATGTTTGTTATCTCTGTCTTCATTGCCCCTCTTATCTCTCTCTTCTTTCCCTCAGTGTAATTAACTTGAGATGTATCCTTGCTGGTATGTGTCTCCATAATTCTTCTTTAACTGCTGAGCTGTATTCCACTGTGTGAATATATCACAGTTTGTCCCCATGGATGGATATTTGGGTTGCTCCTGGTTGGGTTTTATGCTGCTGGGAGCATTCATGCAAGCTTTTGTCTGTCATTTCTGTCACTTGAAGCAGTC